CAATAATGGGAATCCTGTGTGTTATATCTCCTTCTCTCCAGTCCTGCCCCACACTTACCCTTGTAGGATTATCACACAAATTCATCAGAGTTCCAACAACAATTTGGTTGTTGACTGTCACTTGTGTGTTACCTTCATAGCAAAAAAGAAAAAGCAATCTCTTTATAGGATAATGTCAGTTCATTTAATTCTTGGTCAAAAAGAGAGCTGAAAGATATAGTCATTTAGACCGAAGAGATGCGTGATGGAAACTGAAAAAACACAAGTCTAGATTAGTACATCCAAGTAAAGATACTATCTTACCAAATCTACCAAGGCCAGCATCAATGTCGTTGATCATCAAAACACTCATTTTCCCCTGTCAAGCAATAGGAACCATAAACAGTTCATTAACAGTTCACTTAAACATTATAAAAAACTCCAGAGAGAATTATAGCAGGAATTAAAATGATGTTTCAGTAAAGCACAAAAGTCATGAACTTCAATCGTATCCAGAATTAAATACGCATGCGTTTGTAACATATGTTCATGAGTGAAACAGACAATGCATCCAAATGCTAAGCTGTGAAGCTACTCTTTCCCCAGGGGACTAAGTATACATTCTCAAGAACATGGCATATCATGGATGTCTTATTCTTATTGTTTTCAATTTTCATCTGCCTCTCGATCTAAAATTGGTCTCTGTGTGTGCACTTTTACTTCTTTTTCACCTAGAATAATGAATATAGTGTGGAACAAAGGAAGGAATATATGTTTTGCATTATCGGGAGCGCTCATATTGATCACACATATATCCATTTGGAACATTGTAAACATTTTAGAAAGAAGTAAAAAGTAGAGCTTGCTAGTCATTACATAAACAAAATAAAATACACCAGAAGCACAAAACTGGACTAAACCTCTTTTTAGGAATACTCTCTTTATATTTTCAGTAGCAACATTATTCTTCCATTAATATTATTAAAGAAAACGTACTCAAAGTAACACAATATTTCAACATAGTTTTGATGGTTTTAAAAAAATCAACAATTTCATAGTCAGAAAAAGGAAAGAGACAATAAGGCCATGCAAGAAGAAAATGAAGACGTAAAGGCAGCCGGCAAGAACAACAACAAAAAAGAGTGAATGCCAGATAAGAAGGGAAAAAGAAAGAGGTGAAAAGGAAGAGTGTTGGCACGTGGCAAGGAAAAGAATTTCAAAGGAAGCGGAGGGAAATGATATTCATAACTGAATGAAGTTGTTGCTGTAGCAGATGGCCTGAATCCTAGGAAAGAACAGAAAGTGAAAGAATGATTAAAAATAAGGGAAATAAGAAACCTGTGCATTGAGGATGAAAATAAAACAGGATACAGAGAAGAAGAGCTGCTTAGATCTATAAAATAATGGGGTTAAGTAGGGTGAAAGTTGCTGTTCACTATTATTCTTCTGTATGAATTTCTATTCACAGAAAAAAAGTAACAGAGAGTGATCCAGTACCCTATGAACAATTGTCAATGGAAACAAGAAACAAGAAAATGAATTAATATGTGTCAAAACCAAAACAGATAATAAGTTATAGCATATAACATAAATCATAACATGACCTATGTAGAGAGTAACACGACCCAGACATACTAACATATACATATACCGGTAATAAAAGCAGTAAAGCTTCTAACTTGGTTCTGAACCACTTGAGAAGCAGTTCTATAACGCTCACGTATTAACTTTCCCGGTTCTCCTGTTAGAGGAAAGATGAAAAGAAAAATAAGTAAATAACTCATGTAAAAGTAAAAGATGTGTATATATAGAATTGGAAAAAGGAAATAAATATGATCATCATCCTAGATGGTCGAAATATGAGTCCTCAAATTGAGTTGGGAAGAGTTTCTGCATGTAAGCTTTTGTGTCTCATTATGGCAATGTCATCTACCATATTAACCTATAAAATTGTTGGATGAGGGTGATCTCTTGTTTATGTTTATATATATATATATATATATATATATATATATATATCAATTATACTTTTATAAAACAGCAACAGTAAATCTTGGTTCCTCTATGAAAATTATTGCTTTACCTACGCATAGCTTCGTGATAATATACCATGGAAGATAATTTTAAGAAAAGGTAGTCAGTGTTTTCTTTCCTGATATGACAGTGGGAGCAATATCAGAGGGGGGACAACAACGAGTCAGTTTTGTGTCCACATCTTGCATCAAAAATCATCAAACAGATCTAACATTGACAGGATTTTTTACATCCTAGTGTAAATTGACACCCTAGCTTGTTATAGTTCAAAATCTTAGTTGCAAGGGGTTATTTTCTTTATGTTTCTTTATCCAAGGATGATGATAAATACTCCAGTTCGAAGTTTAGTCAATAAATTCCAAACTCATTCTTGAGCAATTTTTACAGTTAAAAAAATAATGCTACCAGCTCTTTCTGATTCTAGCTCTCCTGCAGACATAATGACAGGTTCAATTCCCATTGCCTGAAAGATCAGTTCGGTCTGAAATGTTTTGCCTTGCCCTTTTCCTCCCCAAACACCTGTTACAAAAATATCAACTTAACAATATCTTCTCAAATACTCCTAAAATTCAACTTAAAAGCTGATAGAGCATAATACAAAATCTTTTGCAGCAAAACTAACAGTGTTCATGGAATAACAAGATCATGCTAGCTACTGTACTGCATGACAAAACTATATTTTGGTCTGGCATTTCATGATTGAATTTAAGTGTAAAGCAATTATCATGTACAGGAAACATAAAATAAGAGTCAAAATGTCTAAGATAATCCTACACTAGGATAAAATATGAAGTATCACGGGTTTATTCTAAAAGGAAAAGCAGTGAACAAAATGTTGCTCACACATCTCTAGCAAAAACTAAAACTTGTACAAGAAATACTTTCGCATAATAAGGTACATTTATTAAGATCCTAAAGTTTCTAACAGCAGAAGGGGAAAGAGAAATTACTTGCCTAGAATCAGGGGAACTTTGGCGTTCAAAATATTAGAAATGTAGTTCTTCACAATGTGACACACTGCAGGGATAAGATTCCACATATCATTGAAAGGTTATTACCAATGTGTTTAAATAACGCAGCTCTGCTTGAAATAACAGCATAAAAGGTGCAAGGGGGAAATAACAAGTTCACATGTTAATATCTGCATAGAACTATTACATCAATTCGTTAATACACATCCAAATCAAAGGAAAGGAAGGAGGATTGTGAGAAAACATGTAATATACATAGATTAGTTCTTTGAGTCCTCAATCAGCCATCAAGACAAATTTTCTATAGATCCCATTACTATAGGAAATTTCAGTTTGCCCACTTATTACTACCTTAGCTGGGAAAGTGAAAACGCATATATGAAATGAAACAATAGCAACACATAAATTTTTATATGAATTTTGAACAATCAGAAGTTAAAAGATTATTTAAGTCATAGCTCTCTGCAGATTTAACCCAAACAAGAAAATGTAAAATAGAAAAGGTTGCCTTTCTACTAGTAATAATAACTGTAAGGAGAAGCCAAATAGAGCAGTACTTAATCCATTAACAAAATGGTATCAGAATTTATTTCAGTTGTGAAGCTACAAATTTTGTTAGGGGGCTGTTCAAGATTTAATATATATGTATGAAAAATATTATTTGACCTGTATAATTTTCTATGTACATGGTATAATTTTTCGACGAAGCCACCCTTCCCTACTTGTAGCTACGCCACCTGATCATAAAACAAGCTGATCTCTAGTATTGACTCCAGCAAGAAAGATACCAAAGAAAGCTAAAATGCAAGAATCAAACTCATACTGGCAGACAAAACACCAGGACTCATACACAAGATACAAAGATCGCGTAGAATGGAGCTGTTGGAAGACTAAAAAATGGCTGCACTGACTGTCACTTACCAACTTTATCCTGTTCACATCAAGAAAACAAAAAAACAAGAAACGGGTGAGAAATTCGTATTTGCTTAATTTTCTCCGAACAATAAGCAAAATCCTCCAAAAGAACAATGTACCAGAAACACAGGTGCAATGTAGTAATCGCCTTGAAGGTACTGAAACGACCTAGTCACCTTCTGCCGATAATCAAACACAATATCGGCTGGAAAAAACAACGATAATCGTCAATAAACACAACACAATTTCAATGAACTAGTATAATGATAAACAAAAAATCGAAGTTGATTACAATCTTTTCCAAGGAAATTTCCGGCGAATAGGCTATCAATGACGCCAGCCCTAGCACCAACAGCAATATTCATATTATCTGCCTCAGCACCAAGCCTATACAGATAATCTTTGCCATCAGAATCTTTCGTTTCCCATGAAGACTGTTCAGAGAGTCTTTTCTTCTTCTTTGGTTCATCTTGATCGGAATCTCGAACTTCATCACTCTGTTGATTAGTAGATGAACAACGAACAGAGATAGAAGAGTAATTGGGGAATTGCTTAGTAGAAGAAAGTGGAATTGAGTGGAGAGTGAGAGGAGCTCTGAGGAGATTAGTGTTGTTGAACAAGAGAGCCATTGTTATGAAGAAATTTGGGCCTTTAGTTTTCTTTTTGTTGTATTAGCCGTTATTAACTTCACACGCTTTTTCGTTTGACGTTATCGGAACGCTATCACTTGGAGGTTTTTCGCGCCACACACGATAATAACCCGCCCTTCCTTCTTTTCTTTTCTTTTTCTGTCTAAAATTCCTTTTTAGGTTCCTAAATTAGTAAATCATTAATTATGTTTTTCCTCTATTATCTTTGCAGTTAATTCATTTTAAAGCGTTTATTGTTTATAAAATTTAAGAAATATTTTGAGATATGAATTCGTAAAATTATTTTGTTATTTATAATTTCTTAGTAGTTCGTTTAGAAAATAACTAAATGTAGCATATTGATTGATTATTAACTGCTCGCCTTTTATTCCGTGTCCCTTCTATAACTTTTGACAAAAAAGGAGAAAGAACGAAAAGTCTAATAGCTTTTGACAAGAATGGAAAAGAAATATGAGTAAAAAAGTTTGGTACTCAATAAATATGTTACTTTAAAATGAACAAGTAATAAGCAAAACAACAAATTAACGACATATTAAGCATAACAACAACTCAACGAGTGACTGCTAAACAAGGCTGATCAAGTTTGTAATAATAATACTACAACTTGAATGGCGCATCAAATTAACGACATGATTAAGTAACTTTTGTATCATCAACTCACTTTAATTAACATGAAATAAATATGGTATCGTATTTTTAAAAAATCATATATAATGAAATATTACGACAGGTTTCATTGATAAATTTTTATTGTTTGTAGTCGTATTTGTCCATCTTCATGTTCCAATTGGATTAACGAGTCTGGCAATTCCAATGCCTTTTGCTCCAAGTTGCTCCACATGCGTAGCAAAATTCCTCATTACACCTGAATCCACAACATTACTCTCTTGTTAATGTAAATTTAAAAATGATCAATGGCATAAAAAGTATTGACACTAACCTGCAAGTGATGTGTACACAGCCATCGTCAACTTTATCAACAAGAGAATTGCAATGAGGGCAATTCTTCCATTTGTGATTTTCAGCAAGTAGCTTAACCCTTAAGTCATCTTCTCTGTCTTTTTCTTCTTCCTGAAACTGTTGACAGTCACGCCCAGTGTGCCAAGGTACTCTGCACCGCGCGCACAACAGTCCTGCGCACCAAGGACATTTCCCCTTCATAACGATCTCTTCATCGTCATCAGGATCATGGCTCAGCAATTTTGCACATTTTTTATAAGGACAGTATAATTTCTCTCGATTCGGAATAGCTGACTCAATCAACCCCCTTTCATACCTTGCGAAAATTTGTAAGGACTCTGCAATAACAAATTGCTTCTGCAATTCCTCTGCCAATTTCGCATCTGATGTCAGATAATGCAGAGACATTCTGAGCTATTATAATGGTTAATGTATTTTTTTGGTATTGGGGAAATGGGAATAGAGTCGGTATTTATGCTGAATTATTAGGGACTGTTTGGACATTAAAAAAAATGCAGAGACTTGGTGAAGTCATCACTCGTACCTCCATTATGACGAAGGTCAAGTCGGGGGGGAAAAATGACTAAAACGTGCGTGATCTTTGAATTTAGTTTAAATCCACAATGTATAAAATTTAAAAAATAAATGAAAATTGATTATATTAGGAATAAAAATGGAATTTTTGTTGTGAAATAAAATGGATGACCATGTCAACTTTACTGTAGCAAACTTGGCGTTCAAGTATTATTGTGGCAAAAGTAGTAGCTAAGTAATTGACTTAGTATATCTCTATCTTCTTATGTATAATATAATGTCAGAATAGAGATGAACTCTCCATCTCTTATTAATATATTTATATATATTCATATAACGTAAATAAAATTATGATTAGTACTTATATAAAAAAAAAGATTTTTTTTTAAGTAAATGAGAGTTTATACTGGGAGGAAAAGAGAAGATTAAAAAAATGCGTAAATAATTGTTCAAAGCAAGAATCAAATCCAAAAATCCTTCAAACTAACTATTAGACCACCCACTGCATCCATCATGATATTTGTTCATTTTGGGTGCTGAAAATTTTATATATTTAGATTTTAAATAATTTTATCTCAAGGTTAATGAGTGTTCAAGTATTCTAACGGCTGTATGTGGGTCTGGCAATTGGTTATGCTTCTGATTTGTTTGAGATCTTTTTTATAGTTTAAAATTCAAGATAAGTGTTGAATTTTATTTATTCTTTATTTAATGAGGCTCTAATTTTATATTTTTTAGAAAAAGAATGTCCTTGATACACGACTCAAACTTTTCTTTTATTTTTGTTTTTAAGATTATAAATTTTTATAACATTTGATTATGAAACATTACGCCATTTCCTTGTTCACTTGTGCACATATTTCAATTTATATAACGATTCAACACCTACTGGAGAGATATGAAAAAAAAAAATTTTAATTACTAAATATATGATATAATTCCTTATTAAAAAAAATTCAGATGAACCCCTTGAATCGACGTGATTCGGCCAACATGAGTCACAAATTAGGACTTCAAGAATCATGATCAACATTATACTGTTTTAATTCATGCATCTCCTTTTTGTGTTTTGGATGCTTAGCCAAAATATGGGCCAGTATGAATACAATAATGGACCTCAATAGATTTTTACTATATACAAATAGTAAGCAAATAAGTAGTACTTCATCCGACTCATTTTATTTGGTATTATTTGACTTGATATGATATTTAAGATTTTTTTTTTTGAAACTTGTATTTTAAAATAATCTTTGGATATTTGTGTGGTTGAAATTCATTTCATTAAGGATAAAAGAAGAATTCTAAAGTAAAATTATTTATAATTATAGTAAAGTAACTTTTTTTAACAGACTAAAGAGAAAGAGTTCCACGTAAAATGAGGCTGAAGGAGTAAATTATGAAAAAAAAATTATTTTTTTAAATACTTTTATTTTTGAAGAAACTCACGAATCATGTATCAAATAAACTTCACAATACACTTATAATTGAGATGTGATACAGTTTTAAGTGAGAAGAAGTAAATAAAAAAAATTGTAATTCGTCCATTTATGGACGAACTATATTTAAAATTTTTGTTATGTTTGTTGTGTTTGGGGATGAATTGAACATAAACTTAATTTTGTTTATCACAGTTCACCTATGAATGGACAAAGAATCCATTTTTGGTCTGTATTTTCAAGAAGGATATATTTGATTTATAGCATCCATAAAATATGTCTTATTAAAGTCGGACTTGTTTCTACTATATAGTTGTTAATGACCACGAAAATTCATGGAGTGATCTCACCACAAAAATTAGAGGGAAAGAGAGTTTTGGTTGGTGTGAATTGTGATGATCCATAACTCAAATTCAACGCACTTAATTTTCTTCGATCACTAAAAACTTGATCTCATAATTTCATTTTTAATAAAATTTAAAATATTAAACCTCATAACTTTTAACTAACTTCATTAAATACTAGATCATCAAAAAGTCCTTTTGTGTTGTGTAATCAACTCATATCTACACCCTTAATTATGTATAAACATAACTATCATAATAATATAAGAAAAATGTAAACACAAACTCTTTATATATTTCTTTCCCACAAAAAATACTTTTGATACCTTATCATCACATAATAATTTGAAAAGATGAATAAAAGAAGTCATAAATTAATTTACAGACATATTTCGTCCGTTGCCAAACTGGAAATTATGTTGATCGAACATAAGGTACAAATCAAACAACATATAGTATCTCCATCAATTTGAAATACCAGCAGCCAGTCTAGCTCTTAAGTCTTTTCTCAGAATTTTTCCTGATGGAGATTTCGGTACCGTCTCCACGAAAAATACACGCTTTATTCTCTTATAGAATATCACCTGTTTGAAAAACGTATCAAAAATGAATCAGTTAATATTTACTATGTATGCATTTTTATTCAAACACGTAATTGTTTCGAGATGAAACAAACCTGCTTGGAGATGAAATCCTTCACTTCATCCTCAGTAATGGTAGATCCATTTGATCTAACAACAAAAGCCACTGGAACTTCTCCCGCTTGTTCATCTTTCATTCTGTCCAACACAATTTAACAAATTATCAGAATTTAGACTATTTTTAGAGCTAGCTACATCGTACATTATGCATTTATAGTTGCACATTACAAAAATATAATGTACTTACGGGACAACAGCAGCATCAGAAATGTTAGGGTGGTTGACAAGAAGTGCTTCGAGTTCAGCAGGCGCCACTTGAAATCCTTTGTATTTGATCAATTCCTTCAATCGATCCACGATGAAAAGCTCATCATCATCGTCAATATATCCAATATCGCCAGTGTGTAACCATCCTTCTTTTTCTATTGTTCTAGCTGTAGCTTCAGGGTCATTCAAGTAACCTACAACAAAATAATTATTATTTTATTTAATATATAATTAAATAAATAAAAATATGTGATAACTTAGAATTTTTAAGACTCAAAATAGAAGTAGTTGGGCAGGTGGGCGAATGAATATACACCGAATAGTTCCACAATTTTATGGTAAAAGACCAGACATGTTTCAATAGGTAGAAAGGTACTCTAAACTTTTTTTCAACTTTTTCTTTGATCTTTTAAAAAAGAATATATTTTTTATTTTTCGACTATTTTTTTAATTATAAACTTTCTGATTTAATAATATCAATCTTGTATTCAATAAAGTAAAACAGTTTTCTCGCTTTTTTAAATTAAAAAAATGATGGGAGTGGTAGGTGAGCTTTTGATGATAGAATCATTTTTTGTGGCGTTTGAAAGATCTATCAAATCAATATAAATTTTACTCTATTTGAAATATGAATGGCCCCTAATGCATCTTGATCTAGGTTCACTAGTTGGTATAATTTATTATTCTTAACAAACCGTGCTATTATATGTATAAGTATGTACCTTATAAAAACATGTATTTTGAAAATAAATGTAAATGGTCACCTGACCAAAATATTAATTTGACATATAACTTAAGTTTACGAAGAATACGTTAAGATTTTAACATACCTTTCATGATTTGATCACCTCTAATGCAAATTTCACCGGGTTGGTTACGGGGCAGAGAGCAACCCGTATCCGGATCCACAATTTTCATCTCTGCGTTCCTCACAACGGTACCACATGCCCCTGATTTAATATCAAACGGTTCTTTCGCAAATGCCAAACACATCGCCAGCACTGGACCAGCTTCCGTCATTCCATAACCCTATTTTAATTTAATAATTTATTAATTAGTCAATAAATTTAAATTTGAAAAATTTATTCTAACAATAATAAAATAATACATTGTATCGTGGCTGGCTAGTCAATATCAAGAAACCATAATAAGGCAAATATATTGTTAAAAGTCAAAATCAATGTCCACAAAGGCGTGCAGTATTCTTGTACACATTTTTTAAGAATAGACGTTTATCTACCGATATTTACTTATTCAAACAAAATCCATTTCTAACTCCAAAATTTAGAAATCTACAACGTGTAATTATATTTAAATTTTTCTGACTGGATGTTATTTCAGGATAAGAACGTGAAAATTAAGGGGTCGTTTGGTACAAAGATGCATAATGTAGGGATTACTAATGCATGAATTAGTAATGCAGGGATTATTTTTTAGCAAGTGTTTGGTTCATTATTTCCTATCTAGTCTTATGTTTGGTTTAAAACTTTAGAAAAAGTTTATTTCCAATTATAACCTTTAGTTATTGTGAGATTATGGGGAAAATAGTACCATTCGTTATATTTTATATGATTTAATTTAATTTATTATGAAGTTTAAAAAATAAAGGATTCAATGGATTTATGTGGCGATAAATTATTTTATTAAGGATAAAATAGATATTTTATAATTAAATTATTACTATATATAGGAATGTGTTATTCAAGTCAGATAAATTGAGACAAAAATAGTAATAAATTTAAATTCTAACTCCGCGTAAGAAAATAATATTTACCTGACCGAGTTTAGCGTTAGGGAATTTGGCTCGGACGGCATCTTCAAGTTCCTTGCCTAATGGTGCAGCACCAGACATGACTGTTCTTACTGATGAAAGATCGTAGTTATCAACTAATGGGCTCTTAGCAATGGCGAGAACAATAGGCGGTACAAATGGCCCAATCGTCACTTTATGCTTCTGTATCAACTCCAAAAACTGAGCAATGTCGAATTTCTGCATAATCAAAATTGCTGCTCCGACTCTCAATGCACAGAGCAAAACAGAATTGAGTGAGTATATATGGAACAGAGGCAACACACACATCAACACATCATCACTGTGCATATACAAATTAGCATTTTCTCCATCAACTTGTTGCGCAACGCTCGTGACTAAGCCTTTGTGTGTCAACATCACCCCTTTCGGCAGCCCGGTAGTACCGGAGGAATACGGCAGAGCTACGACATCGTTCGGCTGGATATTC